TGATGCAAGCCCCATCCCTGATCCAGCCAGGAGGCAACAGGAGAAACACCTAGAGGGCTCCAGTATTCCCTCTGTCTTGCCCTGAAGCACCAAGAGCCAGCATGAAGGTGGAGTCAGAAGCTTCTCTGAAAGGGAAGCGTGGAGGGGGAGGTTCCAGTGTGGAGTCAGCTTCTTACATGGCCAGATGCTTCTCCTTCAGCTTTAGTGGAAGACGACTGGATTCAGAATGCCTATTGTTCTGTAATCTGTTAAGTTTAAATACCAGAACTGCACTTCAAAGGACTGTCCTGAGTATGATACCCAGAAGGAAAGAGGGAATGGACAAGTACACCTGGCTATTGGCTGTGTTGGCCGGGAACTGAAATCCAAAACATCTGGAAGGCACCAGGTGGGGGATGGCTGAGTGAACAAGCATTTCTACGCTATGGAGTTCATTTGTTTAGAAGCAGCTACTGAGAATCCGAATGGAGAGAGCAGTTCTATGGCCTCTACACATTGTCTGAAAGAGCACAGCACAGTGGCGATTCCTCACCCCACCTCCTCAGAGAGGAAGTCTAAAATCAGCTCTCCCTTACCTCATGCAGAAAGAAAGTCATTTAGATCTTGAGTACTGGGTTAAGCACAATCTTCTTCTGCTCAACATGTTACATGCGAGGTTGGGTTAGACCTGCATTTTTAGGTTGAAAACTACCTCTCTGTTCTTTCCAAAGAGTTTGCATTATTTGAGCGTTCCCAAGTTCCTTCACCAACCAAACCCTGACTGCTTCAGAATACTCAAGAAATTATCTTTTATCTCTTCTTCTCTGGAAAGAAATATAGTAGAAATAATCTATACCTTGTTTGAGCCACGAGCCAAAACGCTTCATGGTGAGCTCAGCGGTACTTCTAAAGCTTCCCCTTCCAAAAGCAGCCCCCAAACCTCCTGACGAGAAGCTCCTGTAACTTGGCAGGCGTTCAGAAGAGGTTTCCACTGCAACATGAGGAGCTGCCATTGAGGGGGAAGGAAAGAAGGGAGAGACACACGTGCCCACAGTGTGTGCACATAAACATATGGGCATGCTTAGAAGGGCTTTTCTTTTCTGCTTTTGCTCAAAATCAGGCTCCTAAATGAAGTCTGTTCCGTGTGCTTGGTGGGGAAAGAAAAGAAGGTATTTAAACACCTGAAGAAGCTTTGGCAGACAGCTGGACCACCACAAACCTAGGAATTCCCCCATTAGCAGAAAAACCAGGGGTTGCACCAAAGACCAGATGATGGGGTGTGTGAAGGAAAAAACAACACCGACTATGGCTAACTTTCTCCAGTTTTATTCCCCTGTATTTTTCCAAGATTGTCTCTGAACTGGTCTTATTTTTATTTCCTTGAAACCTGCTACAGCACCCTATTTTCCAGTCATCCAGATTATGTAGCAGAAATCCACACAACCATATTTTTTTAAGGAAACTCTCTATGTTGATTCTATGGCACTTCAACTTCTTTTTGCTGAAGACTGCAATTCCATATGCATTTATGTGGGAGCAATTCCCATTCAACTCTGTAGGGCTTATTTTTGTGTAGAAATGGATGGGACTGGTTCTTCTCTTTTTTCCTTCAGACAACAAGCAATGAGTCACTGTGATGGAAAAAAACATTCATGCATTATATGTTAATTACATTGTATACTTCAAGGATGAGTCTTTCAGGCCAGGCTGGCCTTCACTCCTGAAATGTGTATACACTGAACAGGTTCTCAAGACTGGGAAAGGAAAGTAAGCCATAAGAGCTGATGTTTTGCATTCTTGCCTAGTCACACACACAACCACATCTTCATAATTATCCTTGCCAACCATGGCTTGTTGTGCCATCCAAACCCAGCAAGGGTGGGGGGCAACTGGGTTTGCAAACTACCTCTCAAACCTAGAACAAGCATGGTTCCTGCCTACCACCCTCACCAGGTTCAGACAACAAGACAAACCATACCTAATAAGGGCCATTCATTCATACAAGCTTTTCTATGCCATCCTCCACAGCCAGAATTGGCTCTCTGAACAGTTTACAAGTAGTGCAGTAATTCAGTGGCACACAAGCAGCATATGTGGGCAGGAAAATAAGCTGCAGTGGCTTACTTTCCTTCCCTGATCTGCAGACCTGCTCACTGTATTACACTGTACATATTAAGAAGCATTGGTCTTTTAAAATTATTCATTTGCACCTGTAAGTTGTGCTGGGAACCCTTTGCACCAAAGGGCAAGATATAAAATGTTACAAAAAATACAATTTTTATAGCCATCACCACCACCTTTTCTTTATCTCTTTGCAACTGTGTTAAAAGTATAGCACCATAGTAATGACATTTTTAAGACAAAGTTTCTTGTCCTGAAAATGCCTCCATGCTTAATGGTGTTTAACAAAAATTGCACTGCCCTTTGTTACTAAATTCAAAAGAGACGTATCATTTCCTTCATGTCATTTCCAAAAAAGTGACTGGCCTAACTTCACTCCATTAATTTTATGACTGACTGGGGATCTGAACTTGGATCCCCCTAGTTCTAGTCCATCACTCGAGCCACTGCAACACACGGGCTGAGAAGTCGTGATGTTGGCAGAACTCCCTCCCAGGTGTGAGAAACAGGATGCAGTGCCAGGCCAGGCCAGGCGGCTTTCTCCTGCTTCATGGAAGTTTCCACTGATTTATACCTGCAGGCAGCCTCCGTCCAACTGCAACAGAAAGAGCAGCTCTGCTTCTTAGGTCAAACCTATGCCAGGGGAGACCAAGAATCAGCCAAGAGGCAGTTAAAAACCTGTAAAATATGTACTTGAATAACACTCGCCTGTACAAAATCCCTAGCAATAATGTGACAGCCAAGGTTGGACTGAGTTACAGGCTTTTAGCACACAGATCTTCAGGAGCTGGACCATTCCGGGCATAGTCAAACCTGCACATCATTTTTCCCCAATCTAGTTCCCTTCAGATGTCTTGGATTACAACTCCCATCATTCCCAAACACAGTCCCTGCTGTTGTAGTCTAAGGAGGGCACCACGTTAGGAAAGGTCAGTATCAATTCCATATAGTTCTTAAATAGTGCATGACAAGCTCAGAATTCCGTGCACAAACTAAAATACTGTTCCATGTTTTTATATGTCCCAACATGTTTTACACAATTATTCATGCATGAGATCGCGTGAAGAATGGCTGCATTATTTAAATCATGCAGAAGAGGACTGTTGCGTAAACAACTTTCTTGTTGCAAACAAGAGCATTGCACCAAGTGAGATAAACAGCCCAATCTGCTTCCCCAGAATAGAAAAACACCCTATAATAGTAGTTTATAGAGGTGTTATGTTTGTTGGCTTTTAAAATGAAAACAATTCTTTGTACTTTCAAATGCCTTGCAGTGCACACGGAGGGATCTTCAGGATTTGGAGCACTCTACAGGATCCGTTGATCACCTGAAAACTAACCTAATGATCTCCTAGCCGGATTTCACCCGAGTTCCCCCCAATTATAGCACAGCTGGAGGTTGCAAGACAGGTCTATGCCTATTAGTGAAGAGCCTGTGCATCCAGGCACAGGACAGAGCACTGCAAGGCTTCCTGCCCATGGAAGTGTGAAGGGCTCTTTCTCAGATGCATCCCCACATCAGTATGGCAGGCCAGAAGCCAATACAGCCATTTTGCATTTCTTTCTGTGCACAGAAGCAGAACCCTCAAATGTTTCAAGTAAACAGCATTGATTAAACTGGCCATCTTGCATTCGAAATGCTTAGCAGTTTCTATTATATTTAAGTGATTTTTAAGGTCATGGAGGCTCATACAAATATTTCCTGTTGCTCAGCAAAATTCAGCACTTGCTCAGAGTTCAAGGTTGGAAGGATGCAGCAATTACCAGAATAATCTGGAACTTTTGCTTAGTGATGGGATAAAGGTAGTCTCTCTTCAGTAAGCAGTCACGTAATAATCTAAGCCAGGCGTGGTAAGGGTATGAGTGTGTGTGTACATACTGGGTGTGGGGAGAAGAAATGCCACTTGAGAGCCTTTTGTAGGGAGAAACGTGGGCAAACAGGAAGAACTCAGCCTTATGAGAATGGACCAGAATGCATGCTCACTGCAGCCCTACTGCATGCTGGGTCCTTTATGAACCTTTGAGCCACGGCCATGGCTTGTCCTGTCATCCCAAGCTACAGCAGGGCATGGGCTACACCAAGGGTGGCCAAACCGAGGCTCAGGAGCTGCCTGCAGCTCTTCAAGTTTATTGTGAGGCTCGCCTATCCCTCTTGTGGGTGCCCATGAGCGGCTGCTTGCAATTCTCTGCTCTCCACCACCACCTGCAGACACCTGTTTGCCAATTTCTGCTTGTTGTTGTGGCTGTCAAACTCCTGACATTGACCATTTGTGGCTCTTCTGCTGAGCAAGTCAGTCCACCCCAGGGCTATTCCCTTGCACAAACCACAACACCTGGGTTCTGATACCATGAAAAGCCATTGCTTTAGTATTTAAAATGGCCACTCACCCCATCACTGGCTTGGGTAATTGGGTGAGGGCCCAAGGGCTGTTGCCTGAAGCTCCAGAAATCTACTGGAGGGTGGCCAGACGGTTATGGTTATGTTAACTGCATGAAACTAAGGCTGCAATCCTCTCGTTCAAACTGAATTGTCCGTGTTACCTTCCATACCAACAAGCTTCTCACTGGCACTCTAAAGTCATTGAAAAATTGAAACCGAGGCTACAGCTGAACATTACATTTCGCCTTAGCGTCTCAAGACATGTTTACATGACTTTTTCGGAGGCTTTGCATTTCCTGCAGGCCTTGTCCCACGGCCACCAATTCCTGTTTGTGTAACACTAGCCGGTCAAACATTTAAGGCATTCCAGAAAAAACAAACACAAGAAAAACAGCTCTCTCTGCTTGGAACTACTTTCTCTGTGCTGTGCACAGAAGACAGGGCCACAGCAAGCTGCATCATTCTGTTAAATAGAGTCTTTAGCTGTGGGCAGGTTCCACAAGGCTTTTATAGAACTTACTAGGCCAAAACCAAAATGGTGACTTCTTCCACCAGCCAGTAAACGTTGCATTATTTGATGGCCACAGCAGCCTCTGTCCACTGCTGGAATAAGCATTCGCAAACTCTAGTTGCAGTCAAGATAAACCGGCATCCAAGTTGAACTATGATAAAGATACAGAAGACTTTTCAACCATGCAAGTCCACAGGTTTCAGTCATTCTTATCAACAGTCTACCAGCACATGAATCCTCTTCTGTGGATTAGGGTTGGTTTATTTATTTGTACAGAGGACTGTTCAACCAGGAGAGTTTCTACCTGCTATCCAAAGTGGTACATCCCAGGAACCGATTTAAGCACCTCAGTGGGGACAAAATCTGTATTTCCATTCAGTTTATGCTGAACAACTCTCATTAGCAACAAGTTTTTTTAAAAAAAATGCAACCTAATACTGCTCATGTAGTTGTTCTATCACTATTCAGAATCAATTTTTTTTCAAAAATCCAGATTGTAATACAATAGCCAAACTGGATAGATTGTACCATTTTAGGGGGGAAAAGTAAGTTAGAAGAGGCAGAAGGTCCCAAAATGCAGATTGGGGAAAAGGAAGGAAAACTCTGAACAAGTGCAGCCTTCCCCAGCCTTGTGCGTTCCAGGCATGTTTGGACTGCAACACCCGAAATTCCCAGTCAGTGGCCCCGCTGGATGGGAATCTGGGAGTTGTGGTCCAAATGCCTCTGAAGGCCACAGGTTGGGAAAGGCTGAACAAGTACAGCTGTGACACTTTAACTAAACTGGAACACAGAGCAGCACAACATTTAATCAAACTCCACACCTTCAAGCAGTTTTAAAATACTATTGGTTCCTAAATGGGAAACTAAGCTATTTGCAGACTCCTCCATCTCCCCTCACCATTCACAGTAGACGATGTACCAACAATAAGGTACCAACAATGTGCCTGAAGGAGCGCTTATGTCCATATATGCCCGCCCGCCCCATGAGATCTGTGGGAGAGGCCCTTTTCCTGGAACCCTCCGTGAAGAAAATTAGGAGGGTGAGTACTCGGAGGAGGGCTTTCTCTGCGGTGGCGCCCAATCTATGGAATGCGCTCCCCAGAGAGGTCCGCCTGGCGCCATCGTTATTTGTTTTTTGGTGCCAGGCAAAGACCTTTTTATTCAAATGTCATTTTAACTGTTAATAGTATTTATTTATTTTATTCTTTGGCCAGGGCGACTTAATTTATACTGTTAATTTATATTATTTTATCGAAGTTATTTATGTTTGTGAGCCACCCTGAGGCTTCGGCGAATGGGGCAGCATAGAAATTTTCTAAATAAATAAATAATATTCAGCGTTTCTTATACCTGTAGCCATCTGCATTGCAAAGAGAGCTTTGGACAGTATAAAGATGCAATCAATCAGTCAATCAATTGGTGAAGAATAAATGCCACTCTGATGAACTGACTCCCTGTAACCAGCTGCCAATATAACTGCCAAACATCTACAGAGGAAATCTTTAATTCTGCCCAGGAGAGTTGGCAATGTTGCTTCTGACCTCTGAGGGGCACTTCTATGAAGTTGGTAACACACAAACAGAAATTCAAAGTTAAATCCTCTTGCAAGATAAAATGCCCTCTGGACAGCCCAAGGTAAGTGCAGAAGGCTATTCACTGCATTATGGCTCAAGCAAGCTGGTGCTAAGCCCACAGACCACATCCACACCTGGTCTTATGTAGGGCACCCGCTGCCAGACTTGCCACTGTGGCAGCTGTTTTCTAGAAAATTTTGGCAGCAAACTAGTACAGTGGCCCAAGTGGGCCAAAGTTAGTTTTAAAGCCTGATCAAGCTAAATATGGCCCTTCCGAGGCCTCCAGTGTAGTTGGCAGCAAGTCACCAGCACATGGGTGTGGGCACAGCCCCTGACTGGTCTTGGCCTGAGTTTTCTTTATGTAGCCAGTTCATTTCTTAAATCAGTCAAGATAATAAAAATCAGAGTACATTGTCCAGAGCTCTTGACCCTATGCTTAAATTTTAATTGGAAAGGTAAGAAAACAATCCTGCAAACAACTCTGAAGGCCAAAGTACGGATGGAATTGCTGGTTTATTTCTAAACGTTTTAGACCAGAAGGGCCAATAATTAGGAACACAGGGAGTCCAAAACATTGGGAGCATACCAGGACTGACTGGGGTGCAATACCTGTCTTAGAATGGGGAATCTGGGCTAATTTACAAATTACCCTTGGCCATAAAGCTGAGAGGATGGTCCTCCATCTGTCATCATCTCTCATTTTGACCTACTTAGCAATATTGGTGCAATGATAAAAATGGAATTGCCCTCACATGGCACTCAAACATCTTCGAGCAAGGAAGCAATACCAGTATGACGACTTGGATCCTGCTTCTTCATGCTGTTCTTCCACATCTCCCAAAAGAAGACAAATTCTCCGCTCTGTGTGCACACACGAACATACACACAGGCAGAGAACGAGCGAGCGAGCGAGCGAGACGGTGCGGGGGTGGGGGGAGCTTACATTTAATCTCCTTTATCTAAACTCTGGTTTTGGACTTGTCTTCAAAGGCAAATCGTTCTTGTCTAGGGATTGCTCAATTCCAAACACCTGAATCGCCAAGCAAAGCCTACAGATAATCAAGGTATTAAAAACTTGGGTTGTGAAAGAAAACAGATGCTCAGTCTGGACACACACGTTCTCCCAGTTGCTCATCCCATTCACAATGGCACTGAGTCGATTACACACACACCCTTTGCCTGTCCTACTAAACTTGACTGACTTCATTTCTATAGGAGGTGTTGGAGGCAGTGTAAGAAGGCTGCCTCTGAATACCCAGAAGGGCATAATTTGCAGCCATCAAAATGCAAACTCCGCTTTCTACTCCACTAGCCATCCTGAATTGCTACCCTCCTTATGCGACAGGTCAGCAAGCTTTGTGGGTCCACACCATACTTTACATTGTCCACGCTAAAAATTGTCGGGGTGGTGGTACACCATCTCCCTCTTCCTTCCCTCTCTTCACCTGCCGCCTCCTTCCTCTCCCACCCCACTCACTATTTCCTTTCCCCTCTGTTCTCTCCCCACTACTCAGCACTTCCCTTGGCTCCCTCCCCACCCCTGCTGCAAGAGGAGCCAAAAGGCCACAGCAGTGCATGCAAAGGCGCCATCAGCAGTAGGGGAAAGGGGCCCCCATGCACTGCACACATGTCGCCGCACCAGCAGGAAGGCAGGAAGAAAGGACGTGCCACCCCACAGCAGGAGGGGCCAGAAAATGGGAAAGGTCACCCGAAAGTGGCACAAACACAGAGTGGGGAGGAAGTGCTGGGGCAGCTGTGCGTGGGGCAGAGGTGGGAGAGAGGGGAGATGAGGTGCGGGGCAGAAGAGAGGCGGTGGATGCATGGGCTTGGCAAGGGAGATGGAAAGCGGGGCCGCGGGAGTCGCGTGGGTGCATCTGGAAGTCTTAAAAGGATGCCTGTGGGCACCGCGTTGCCCCTTTGCCCTATTTTTGTATTAGGCTTTCATCCCGGACCAAACAAAGCAAGCAGAATGTGGGAGAGACAGTTCAGGTGGGATCCAGAGAGGACTGTGCATGGCGTTTGGGTCACCTATGACAGCTGTAAGGAGTGCCCTGTCCCTCAGTAAGGTGCTGCAGAAGATCTGGGGTCCTCCAGAGAAGCACAGCAATGCAGCACACGGGAATAAAGTGTGGCAGAGGAAACCTGCCACTCCCAGTGGATGTACGTAGAGCAGAACCCCACACTACAGCTGCACCTCTGCGGAATCTGTTGTGAGCAGAACAGACTTGCTAAGGAAACCTGGAAACCGGCTGGGACAGAATAGCAGAACTGCCTTCTGCCAGCTGCTGAAATTTGTTTCGGATGGCTCCAGGTTCCCACCGTGCCAGCAGGCATTTACACAGAGTTCTTCTATTCCCTGCCTTTGTGCAGATTTTGAACACTGCAACATAATGCCAATTCCTTGGCCTCTTATCACAAAGTGTGCTGCTACAAGAGCACCAGTACGTACTAGTTGCGCTTTGCCTTTTGTGATCACGGGAGGTAGAGCAATAATGCAAACAGAATAAAATAGAATTACATTCAGTGAAGCAGCAGTAAAATCCAAATTTAAAACTGTAATAAAGGAGAAAGTTAAAGCATTGATGCAAATCAATAAAAACAATCCATTAACTATAACATATTTCCAAATTGGCTGATGGGCCAAAGGCCTGCCAAAATAAATAGGTATTTGTCACTCTATAGGATTTATTACCTGTCAAGAGTATTTTGTAGGAAAACTGCAAAATATAGAAAAACCAGTCAAACCCAAAGAGTTCAGGTCAGAAACCTAACCCCTGTGTCCACTGAAAGAATAGCTGCCCAAGTATTTGCACAGATGTTTAAACATTTAGGAATGACCCCAGCCAAGCACAAACTGGAAGAATCATGCATCTACCATTTTTTCTGATTTTTGTTGCTGCTGCCCTATTTAAACTAAGCTACTCAAAGTTTACACATGAGAAAGGACTAAACATAGGGTTTGTCCAAACCTTCCATTCTCACTGAAGTGGTAAACCATTGTCAGGGCTGTACAACTTCAAACCATTTTGGTGTTCCACCAAAGAAATATGTCCTCTGCCTACAAAATTAGCCTGGAAGGGTGAAGACAATGTCAGAGCCTGTTTCCCTGACATGCTAGTTTGCATGGGCAACACATTTCCTTTTTTATTTGGAGGGGCAATGAAACTCCCACATGCAAACTTGTGGCACAAGCCAGATACGCCTATGCCAAGCAAATTACGGTAGACAGAACAAAACACACTTCTGCAGGCCGAAATGATGCCTTGGAGGAGTTAATGAACCCAGAGGGAAACCATAAAGCAAAACAGAAAAATGAAAGACATTTCCTCCAGAATGACCTTAAAGGATGAGATAGTTCATGATTTCAGCAGAAGAATTCCATTCCTCAAATGAGGTCACACTGAAAAATGAAAACAGTGTCCGGCTTAAAAAGAAAAGAGAAAAGAAAGGCCAAGTCAGTAATGCTAACAAGCCACTGCTCATTTGAAAACGTTTAGAGGAATTAAAAATGTTCATTCTTCATCACTACTTTCAGAGTTCTTCAACAAAGGAAATGTATTAAACTAATACACAACATATTTGAAATCTAGGTCTTAAAATCCTAAGTCCTAAATCGACAGCTCTATTAAGAAAATTCTTAGCAATTTTGAACTTGGGCCCAAGACCTCTGGGTCACTGTCATGTCTGTACAAGAACCTCCTCTCAAGGAATCCAGAGTAATCTCCCCCAACCTGCCACCTTCCAGAGGCGCTCAGCCTACAGTTCCCATCTTCAGCATGCCCATTTGCCTGGGGTTATAGTCCGACACACCCAGAGGGCATCAGGGAGAGGCTAGTGGCAAGGGTGATCCCCTTTTACCCTTACAGCAACTTGGTGGGGCAAATCGGGGAGAGAAAAGACAAAGAGAGGTGGCTCAAGTGCATGTCCTAAAGACCCATGCCAAAATCGGATACTCACTGGTGTAAAGAGGGGTGAGAGCTCCTGCAGTTGAAACTTTTTC